GTGGATCCAGTGCACTGCATGGCCTATCGCTCAGGTACGACGGGCTGAACGGAGTTACTATCGCAAAGGCGATTTTCTCCAGAAAAAAAAAAAAAAAAAGAGAGAGAACTCGCGTACCCGGCGAGGCAGACGCGCTCCTGTTCCAACCTGTGCTTTGTTTTCTCAGCGTTGTAGGTTCCAGCTCGATTATTGCCTACGCCGTCTTCCAAAACGCAGTGAGGTCCCCCGAGGTAAGAGCTGTGCCTCCCTCTCCCTCCCTCAGCCGAGGTGTTGGTCCTGTGCAGGTGGATCACCTTGGAGCAGCTGCAGGTCTCAGGGTTATGTGGTTAAACCTTGTTTAACAGCTGGGAGGCAAAGGGCTTGACAAGATTTTGGCTCTTTGTCTGTGATAGGAGTTGAAGGGGCTGACCTTGAACTGTACCTGTGCAGGGAGAAGCAGATCCCTCAGCCCCGTGCTTTCTGCTACTCCAGTTGTTCCTGGGAGCAGGGATTTGTTAATGTGCCCTCCTCGGTGGGACAAAACCCCTGGAGTGCTGTGGAGCTGTGCACAAAGCTGCTGAAGTGCAAATTGGAGATGTGCCTGTGGAAATTCTTTTACAGGTCTTTGGGTATCTCTGGGGAGATTTCCAGGCAGGTGCACTGCTAAGACTGATACAACTCAAAGATGCAGCTGATACAACTCAAAGTTCAGACAAAAAGGAGCTGAAAAGCAGTTTGTTGTGTTGGACTCTGCAGTGGGGCTTTGGAAGGGTCACCCCTGCCATGAACATTCCTAATGCTGAAGCTGTGGGACTCAGGTGCACACATCCCTTGGGGTGGGACAGCCTGCACGTGGGACAGGAATGCAGTGCTTGGCACATCCTAAGGGCATCCCATGCACAGGTTATGCAGGAACCCCCTGGGGCTGAGATATATCTGACATACCAAGCAGGTGTCTGGCACATGCACAGTATCCACAGACATCTGTCTCGTCCTGCCAGGCTTGGGTATCCACACACAGTCCCTCTGTGTGTCCCAGACTTCCCAGAGGTAGTGAGCAGAGCTAATCCCTGTGAAGCTGGGGTTTGGATTTGCAGGCAACAGGTTACTGTAAGAGCAGAAGGACAGTGGAGCTGCCAGCAGCTGTATCTGTCCTTCTCTCATCTTCACTGTTCTTTGTACATCATGGGTTTGATCTGCAGCCCAGAGAACAGGATTTCCAGGGAATGCAGGGAGTTATTCCTGCAGAAGGGATGCAGGCAAGCCGACAGCTGACACATCGCTGGATGAAGCAGAGTGGGGAGGAGAACATGAGTCCAAGTTTGTAGGGCAAATCTGCCCCCATTATAACACACAGGAGTCTTTCCTCCTGGAAATGCTCTGCCCAGCACATCCAGAAGGAGCTTTGGAGATCTCCAAGCATTTGCAGGGAGAAATGGAGGCTGGGACTTGGCCTTAGTGCTGGGATGGAAAACCTACCTGAGCTTGTGCTGCTAAAGGTGCACATCAGAGGCTCCTTCTATCACATCTGCACCAGGAGAGCTCCACATGTGGTTCTCTCCTGGGGTCCTCCACTCTGGAATGATGCAGAGCTGGGTTTGGCAGGTGTCCTGGTGTGACTCAGCAGCCTCTTCCCGTTACTTCCATGGCCAGAAGCCTGGTCACTCCGGAGCCCTTCTGCTCTCTCTCAAATCATATGATGTGGCTGTGGCTTGGAGCTGCTCGTGAGCCACACATGGCTCCAGGTCACAGATGGGCCCTTCCTGCTCGAGGGAGTCCAGATGTTTCTGCTCAGATTATTGCTTCAAATCCGGGTGGGAGGGGTGGGTGCCAGCTGGAGGGACTGCCCTGCACAGCCTTCCAGGCTCCTCTGCTGGTGCCAGGGGAGATCTGCTGCTGGGGTTTCAAAAGCGACACAATCTTCAGTAACTTCCCCATTGCCTTGTCCTCATGTTTCTGGTCTGCAGTGGAAGTTTGTAAACAAAGGGGCTGGAAGAGATCCATATCAAAGCTTGCCACAAACATATTCCCTGAGTCATGAGGACCCACAGCAAAATGTTTAAAAATAAACAGCTCTTGAACCTGGGAGGAGAATGATGTTAGAAACACTTCCCCTCCTGTCCCCAGAAATCAAATATTGCACTCTTGAAGCTTTTCTGTCTTTATGGGGTCAATAAAACTCTTCAGCCTGAGCTAAATCATTCAGAAGAAAGCTTAGATCAACGGGCTGAAGGAAGAAATGTCAGCTCACCATGTGCCTGGGTGATGGCCACAGAGCCACATCCCCGTGCGTGCTCCAGCCTGGCATCTGGAGCTGCCAGGATGGAAATCATTACGTCTTTCCAGTCCCTTCCTCTATTTTATAAATACCATTTGGTATTTGCTTTCCCCTTTTGCAAGTCAGAACCAAACTGGCTTCGCTTATCACTGTCACCTACTTCTTTATTCAGGTCTGGGCCAAAACTCCTCGACCAGCCAGTGGTTCCTCGCTCCAAGGGCACTTGTTGCTGGGGAAAGGGATCACCTGTTCGATTGCAAAAGTTGCTTCTTTGCTTATTTTAGAGCTGTTTGGTTTAACTTGCCCTGCTCACAAACTGGGTGGTGTCCCCAGCCTGTCGTACCAGGGCTTCAGTTGTGCACCAGCAATGAAAAGCCTGGTTAAAAAAGGCATATAAATGAAATTATATAAATATTAACTCCAGATATTTGTGCCATTATGCCTCAAAGGTAAATCTGGCTCAATCAGATCTACCTTACATCTTATTACCTTACTAATCTCCTTCTCATTGCTCATGGGAACAAGTACAGCCCAGCACGATGGGTGGCAAATATTTACTTCCAGGACAATATTGAGGCAAATCCCATCAGAAGCTCAATTCCATGAAAAAAAAATATAAAAACCACAGCCCCTTGAAATGTTTCCATGCTGTCTTTAACATTATAATTTTCTGTAGAGAAAGAAAACCACCATCGTTTTCTCTCCAGGATGCTGAAAATGAGGTACCAAAGGCTACAATTAAAAATGTAGATAATCAGGTTGCTTTTCCAGAGTGTCTGCTCTCCCACTAACGACAAAAATGTTGGCCAGAATTTTGCACAAATGTTTTCCTGCAGTGTTTACAGTCCTGGCCAGTGCTTGCAAACTGGAAATGGGCTGGAAACTGCTGTTAAAGGAGACGTGACTCTGTTCCAGCAGACTAATGGCTCTCAGTGGAAGTTAATCTGGCATGTGACATAGACCCAGCCTTAGTCACCAGCTGAAATGACATGGAACACAGGGGGAAAATGCCTGTTTAAAGTTATTTCGTATCTGAAGAAGGGTTTGTGTTTGCCAAAAGTTTAATTTCTCTCTGAGTTGATTTAAAACATAATATCTCTTCTCCCTGCCAGCCTCTCCCATTCTGCAGAATTGTGAAATTATGGATATTTGAGTTATTTCCTGTAAGTTTTGATGCTGCTCTTGGATCCCAGTGGCAGAAAGGGTGGTTAGAGCAGGGGATCTGCGTTGGAACAGCTCCTGAGAGCACGAATTTGTGTGGATTTTGTCTGCAAGGAGAGTTCACCAGCAGAGCAGGGGGATAACACTGTTCAGATAACACCTGATAACCTGATGTATTGATGTCCATGCTTGGTTGATTAGTCTGAGCACAATTAATCTTTCTACTAGGACTTGGTACAGTCATTTTAAAGGACTGGAAAGAAGGGTGATATTTAGGAGTAACAGCTGAATTATTTCCATCTGAGAACTTTTCTTTAAACTCCCTTAGCTGTGAAAGTAGAGAGAGACTTTTTTACTTGAAGCTTTCAAGGTTTGCTGCAGTTAAATTGACTCTCAGAAATCTTGTCATAGTGCTTCCCTGAGGGTAAAATCATCCCTCTACAAAGTGCTACTCATACCCCACTTATCCTTAATTAAGGCTTTTAAAATAAGTTTGCAGTGGGACACTGGCCTTCTACTGACACTCATTCCTGCAGAAAAGGCTTTGGAAGGCTGTGTTTAATGTCTGTATGTCTGATACAGGGTAAAGCTGCAGCTGTGAGTGGGTGTGGGAGTGTTGTGGTGCCTCTCACACCTGATGAGCCTTTTCCCTTCCCCCCAGGTGCGTCCACTTTTCTACCTGAGCCTCTCTGACCTGTTTTTGGGAATGTGCTGGCTGGCTGGGGCTCTGCTCTACAGCTCACCCACCTCCCAGCAGGACCTCATCTGCTACAACCTGCAAGCAACGGGACAGGTAAGTGTCCCTAATCCTACCCCCGTGGCATCACATTCCTGCTGGAACAGTAATTTGCCACAATTAACCCTTCTGGTGATCACTGTGGCTGTGAGGGCTGTTTATAGACAGGTTTTGGCAGAGGCTCCCTGTGTGAACTTGACTTATTGATGTCTTGCCTTTGTGTGGAAAAGGGAGATAATGACATTTGGGTTCAGGATCCTCTGGTGTGGGAGAGGCCATGAGGAAGGCAAAGACATCATGGGATTTTGTGGTTGCTTGTGTAAAGTGAGTGAATGGGGCTTGATCTCTTTACTGCTGGATCCCTGCCCAGAGGATCTCTGTGCCTCTCAAAGAGCAGATTTTCTTTTCCTCTTTGTGCTTCCTCCAGCCTGGGCAGGAGCAGACACATTCTGGGACACACTTGAGCTCACATTTACAGCATTACTCATATAAACATCCCTGCTCTTGGTTGTTCTTCCCAAGGTTAGTCCTTACAGGAGAGGGGACAGTCAGGGTGCTGTGGTGGGGTGTGCAGGGCCACATCCTGACCCCAGCCGGTGTCACCAGGCCCCTCTTCCATGTGCCACTCCAGTCCCCCCTGGCACAAGGACTGCCCCGGTGGCAGAGCTGGGTTGTGCCTGGCAAGAGCTGTCACTGCTGTTTGCTCTGGGAGAAATGAAAACAAATGGAGCACTTGCCATGGCAACCTGTCCACAGTGGGCACGTGACTGAGCAGGACACCCCACCCCACACCCCCCTCTGCCCTTGGGGGTGTTGGGAACACCTTGTGCGTAAGAAGGAGCCAGGGAGAGGTTCAACCAGCAGCTTCTGTGGAGCAGAACCCGTGGAATGAGCAAATAAATGTCTCACAGGGTGTCTCATAAACACACGTGGCTTCTCTGCACACCTGCACCTAGAAAAAGTCAGATGTCAGAGGGTGAGGATGGGCAGGGGGGGCTCAGCAGGGTGTTTGCAGCTGGCAGCCCTTGGAGAGACTCACACCAGGGTCCCTGGGATGTCCCAAGGCATTGCCTCAGGAGCAGGACAATCTTTTGCCTTATTCAGGCTGTTTGCCCTCAGTTTATCACCATGCATGGGCTGGTGTTGCAGTGGATGGAGCTCCCCAACATCCCTAAAGGAGGAGATTGCTTTGCTTCTTGGGTTTTCCCTGTTTCAGCCCCAGAGCTCTGATTGACATTAATGTAAATACTACTCCCTTTGCTGTCTCTTGACGTTGTTCTCTCCTCCTCCCTGCCTTGCCTCTGTGTTACAATAATAAAGTGCAGAATAAAGATTGTGGTTATAATTACACAATTCCCCCACATTCTTCCAGTTCAGTTCCAGTGGCCTAATAATGTCCTGGCAGGCTCTGCCCACGCTGGGGAGCACAATGGGAGCCACACAAGAGGGATAATGAGGGCCTCTGGTGTCTCTGCTTTATCTCCTCGTGGGAAGTGCTGCAGGACTGTCCCCAGCCCCAAAGCTGGGGCTCAGGAAAGCAGAATTCCCTTCACTTTCTGCTGTCATCTTCCCGAGGGGCATTTGGCTCCCTCCACCAAACCAGAAGGCAGTGCTGACATTTCTTGAGCCTGAAGTGCAAGACAGCAATATTTGTGGACTCTTTTGATGACCTTCCCTGGAAGTAATTGAAAAAGGGCAGCAAACACTCATTAAAGCTCGTTTAATGAGCTGGAAAGTCACTGCAATGTTCCTGCTGCAATGTCACAGTCCCTTGGACTCGGCCCCTTGAGCCAGCCAAGAGCATTTGCCACCTCAGTGAAGGAGGCTGAGTTTGTTCAGTGACTCCTTTCCCAGACGTGGATGATCCCAGGGTGGCAAACCTGTGCTCCTTATCTTTTTGGCAAAGAAAAGAAATTCCCTTGTCCAGCCCTTCCTCTTTGCCTTTGCCACTGAAGTGTGTGTTTCCTGTAACAAACAGCACATGCGTGGACATGGTCTGATCAGGCAGCTTGGAGCAAACATGGATTTGAAAATAAATGGGATAAAGATCTGGGAGGTTTTGCAGGAAATTTTAGATATTTGGTCTCATCTCAGGCTGTGAAACTCTCAGTGGGAAACAGTGTGCTCTGTCTTTTCTCTCCTCTTTTTTCCCAGGGAGAGAAAAGGGATTTTTGAAATGTTAACCCAGGCAGATATTCTCTGCCCTCACTTTCCTCTTTAAATATCCCATTGTTTTGCGTTTCCGTGAATTCCCAGTGTGGGGAGCTCATTATGAAAAAGTCTAAATGTCACATCTGTGTTGTTTCCTAATGGATGTAGCACAGAGAGGATCCAAGTGCCTTTGGACCTGTTGTTGCCAAAATTTGGGCTAAAAAATGAGCCAAATCACAAAGATTTGATTTTCTAAGACAGCCCTGCTGTCATTAGTTCTCCTGTCCCCTGTCTGAGCCCCAAGTGAAGCTGCCTTTGTGAGGTTTAAAGTGGGAGCCTCTCCTCAACCTGGCTCTTCCCACCTGGATGTGAGCACAAGGAGTTGTGAAGGATCCTCACCTTTGGCAGATGTTTCTTCCTGCCTCTGTTCCACAGGCTTTGGATCATCAGGGAGGAACTAAATGTGCTACAGAAACTGTTATTATAGGACTGAAATGTTTGCATTTCCCAGATATTCTACGTGGCCTCTTTCCTCTACACTGTCAACTACACGTGGCACCTGTACAGGGACCTGAAGGTGAAGTACAACCAGAACCTCTTCAGGGTGCTCCCCCAGGTGAGTAGGACGGATGTGGAACAACAGCTGGGTGCCCAGGTCTGACTGTGGGGCATGGTGGGATGTGGGGGCTGCACACAGAACAGTTCACTCACCAAAAGGACCTTGAAGGCCCTTCTGCCCCATGGCTGTATGAATTGATGAGGTCAGCAGAGTTACTGCTGGGTCTGTGAGAGCCTCTCAGCACTGGGGGCTGGGGAAGCAGTTGGCAGAGCAGGGGTTTGCAGCAGCTGAATGACTGGTTTGGTGCTGTCACCAAACTGGTGACTGCCCTCTGCCAGGGCACAGCAGAGGGACAGGAGAGCAGGGGGTACCTGGACAGCCTGGAACTGAGAACTGACAATTTCTGTCCTCCTCAGGTGTCACACTCAGTAAGGGTTTGAGATAGAAGGTGTGAAGGGAACTAGTGCTAACAGGACCTGCTGGCTCAGGGAGCAGGGGCCAGTCCTCACTTCATCATCCCTGGCCTTTCCAAAAGCCCTTTGGGGCACCAGTGTAATCGCTGGGAACTGAGGAACAAGGACACAGCACTCAGGAAAACACTCCCTGCACTGCAGGCTGAGCAAACACTTCACACACCTCATGACCAAAATCCTCCCTGCAGTTGTTTCCCACCTCACTCCTGGCTAAACAGGGAGGCACCGTGACTGCTGTGTGGCTCCCTGTGTATTCCTGCAAGGTGGAATATTCCTGATGCATCTCATCCCATCAAACTGCCCCAGACAGCCTTTTCTTCCCCAGACATTTGCTTTGTATCCCAGATATTCCATCTGTCAGTTCAGGAGCAGCAGGCTGGGCAGATCACTCTAAATTTAAAGGGTTTTTATCCATAGGGTTTGGATCCACTTACAGGACTGGATTCCTTTTTGCTGGGCTCCCACACGTGCCATAATTCCCCACCCTTCAGTGTCCCACAGTGCACTGATGCTGCTGGGTGGGTCCCACTGCCAAAGCACATTTCCTGGTGAGCAGATACCAGGACACCCCAAACTGCCTGAATTTCTTCACCAGAACATGAAGTTTCTGAGGAATAGGGCCAAGGAAAGTGAATAAACAGTACAAAAAATAAGCAAGTCCCATCAGAGGGCTCATAAAGTCTCTGCTCCTTGTCCAGGTCTAAGTTCCCTTCTCTGATCCTCCTCCTGAAGCAGAACAGGACAGTCAGCGAGGGTTGATTCCATTCCAAATCAGCACAGGCTGAACTTGGCCATGTTGACTCAGTGCAAATTAGAACCAAACATTTGTCCTGGGGATTAATCAGAGTTTGAAGGACCCTCAGCTGCTGAAATGCTCCCTGGGAGCTGGTTCCTGTGGACCAGGGAGCTGTACAGGAATGATGATTTAACTAAACTTGTTGGATTTTGCAGGCTGTAGATTATGCAAGTTGTGTTGGCCGAATAGCAACGATCTCGTCGAGGTAAGATTTAGTTCTCCCTGGAAGGATGAAGTAGATTTGTAAAATTTAATTCTCCCTGGCAGGATGATGTGGTGTTGGTGAGGTTTAGTTCTCCCTGGCAGGATGATGTGGTTTGGCAAACTGCAGCGTGCTGATCTCTGCTTCCTACTTGTTTTGAAGCAAGATTTACTAAAGCCCGTAAAGCTCATCATTAACAGCAGTGTGACCTCACAAACACAGAGTAAGAGGGTTTTTTTAACCAAGTTAATCATAACTTTATTAACTAGATGTGGTTTTCCAGAAGGTGCTCCCTTTACCAATGATTAACCCTCACAAATGAAAGCACCGACGTTGGTAAAGCTGATAAAATACTTTTCCAGAGCAATGTCAACAAAACCAATTTTAATTCCTCTGTAGTGACAGGAGAAAAACCAAGTGGTGTTTGCTGGGGGTGGGATGGAGCAGTGCAATAACCAGTGACTGTTCTGTTGTCCTGTCTCCTCTCAGCCTCATCCCTTTCCTCCTCATGGTGCCGGTGTTTTGCCTGGGCAACAGCAGCAATTGCTACCAGAACTTCAGCCAGAAGCACGGGTGAGCCTCAGCCCCTCTGACACAGCCCCAGGGCTGCTGGGGCAGGGCAGGAGCTCAGGCTGTCCCCTTTGTCCCACAGCTGTCTCCTGATGCACACGGAGGTCGCCGTGACCACCAACGAGCCGCAGACCCTGAGCGGCTCCGTCTGCCGCGCGATGCATTTCTACGGCATCGGGGTCTTCCTCATCTCCTTCCTCATCAGCTTCGTGGCCATTCTGGTAAGAAACATGGGCCTTTGCATCTCTGCATCTTTGCATATGGAATGGTTTGGGTTGGAAGGGACCTTAAATCTCACCCAGTCCCACCCCCTGCCATGGGCAGGGACACCTTCCACCAGACCAGGTTGCTCCAAGCCCTGTCCAGCCTGGCCTTGGACACTTCCATCACTTCTACCACCTCTCTGGGCAACCTGTCCCAGGGCCTCAGCACCCTTTCTCCCCAACATCCCATCTAAGCCTCCTCTCTTTCAATTTGAAGCCATTTCCACTTGTCCTTCACTACAAGCTCTTGTAAATATGGCAGAGAAATAACTGTGGTGCTGCTTCCCTTTTGGAAGGGGTGATAGGGGAGGGAAAACAGCACTGTGCCACCACATAAATCCATCTAGAGTCCTGTGTTCTGTCAGCCCATCCCCAAAAGGATTTAGCAGGTAGAGAAGGCTCTGCTTGGCAGCAGAGTTCACCTACTGCATAGTCAGCAGGAGGTGATTAATGTTTGGACTCAATGATCTTGAAGGTCTTTCCTTTTTGATTTTATGATTCTAAGAGTCTAAATCAATTCAGAGTCTTCAGTTTAGAAAAGGTCACATGCAAAGCAACATCTCTCCCAGGATTTCCCCCCCTATTGTGGGAAAAGGTTGGATGGACTGAGGTGGGACCTGTCCTGGGTGAACCCAGCAGCTCCCAGCCCAAACAACATTGTCTGCCTGTTCCCTTTCAGGTGATCCTCAGCCAGGCCCGAGGTCTGTACAAGAGGTTTGTGAACTCCACAGGGTTCCTGGGGGACCAGCAGTGGGCCATGATTAAGATGGTGGAACAACGAGTGGTCTTTTACCCCATTGTGTTCTTCTGCTGCTGGGCCCCAGGTGAGCAGAGAGCTGAGTTCCTCCCACAGTGCTCCCCTGTGGAACTCCAGAGAGGTGGGGTTAAAGCAACACCCTCTTGTCCTTCCCTTTTCACAGCTGTCCTCCTTGGAATGCTGAAGTTGACTGTTTCAACAACCAGCAAGATCTACATGGCCCTGCTGATCCTGCAGGTAAATCTCTGCCCCTGCCACCTCCTGGGCTTTTCCTGAGCCTCCTAATCCTGAGTCTGGTCCCAGCTGGATGTAGCTGGACAAGGATCACTCCATGTGAGCCTGAGTCTGGTTTGGGCTTTTGGTTGGCAAAGATCTCTGGTGGGTGATTTATCTGAAAAGGTCTCAGTGACCAAAATCCAGCACCATGAGGACACGGTTTAGTGGTGAACATGGTGGTGGTGCTGGGGTGATGTTTGGACTTGGTGATCTTAAAGGCCTTTTCCAACTTCAGCAATTCTTTGATCATGGAAATTGTAGCAAATAAGAGTAGAAATCAGAAATCAGTTTGTTTTTTTTCTCCTCTGTGTTTTCCCTGTGTCCCTAAGTCTCCAAAAGGGATTCCTTCATAACACTTGTCCAGCTGCTTCTTGTGGCTGAGACAGAATTTAGAAATTGTGTTATATTATATAATTATTTAAAATATCTTATATATAATATATTAAAATATATTTCTAGAAAATACATTTCCGTGGGTTTATATATAATTAGATATTTATTAACTATTTGTTTAAAAAATCATGAGATTGCTCCGTCACACATGGGGTGCAGGTGAATAATGCTGAATCCAGAATTCCATGCTGGAAGTGGGAGGTTTTCCAGGCTGGCAGGGAGCTCAGAGCACTGTGCAGTGCTGGATTCCAGGAGCCCTGATCCCCCCTGTGCTGTCCCAGGCTCTCACAGCAGCTTCCCAGGGGCTCCTGAACTGCCTGGTGTACGGATGGACCCAGCACGTGTTCCTGTCCCTCAAACGCGGCGCCCGCCGGGACGTGGACACCCAGACCCCCCTCCTGCGCTCCCAGAAGAAGTTCTACTCCAGCACAGCCCCCACCAGCCCCCCAGACACTGAGGGCTCCACGTCCACGCTGCTCTGAAGTGTCCTGCCAACACCTCCTCGTGTTTTAGGAATGTCATCCAGACCCGGGATGGGGCTGTCGGCTCCGAACTGTCCCAGCCGTGGGGAGGGAGGAGCCCAAGCAGGTCTGTCAGAGACACTCAGTGGAGATAGTTATTTATTTTACAGGTCATATGGACTCTAAATTAATTCTTTCAACATGGTAAATCTCTAGTCCAGACTTTCTGCTTCTGGAAATATCCCTAGAAATGCAGCAGATGGTGTGTAACAGCTCAGAGGTCTCATCCAGCTCCAGCAGAGGATGTTTTACTTCTCCAAGTATTTGTTTTATTTCTTGAAGTATTTGCCATTGCAAAATAACAGTAAAGCAAAGTGAATATTTTTCATATCTCTGACTTTGAATTCACTATAACCATGAGAACATGCACCATACTAAGAGCCAACTGCAGGGAATGAAGAACTGCAAAGCAGGATAAAAACATCAGTGCTCACTTCCATGCCTGGAATTCTGCACATTTCCCTTCTGTTCTTCGTGCCAACCCCTGCTCAACCACAATACTCACAAAAATCAGCTTCTTCAACCCTGTGGAGCATCATGAACCAGGTGAGCAGGATTAAATCTGAATGTCTCTCTACATTTCCAGCTGCTCAAGTGAATTATTTACTGAGGTCCATCCATGATACAGAAAATAAAAAAAGATCTTTAGCTGGGTTGAAAACAACTCCCTTAATTTACACTCTTTATTTTCTAACAGCTTCACTTTTTGAGTCTAACCCAAATTTTTCACACAGCAGGTTATACAAGAAGAGGAAATACTCCAGTTTGTATAATTAACTTACACAACTGTGTAAACTGTGTGTCAGTCACACAATGCCCCTGGTGTTTTCATCAATGACTGATTTTCTCTTACAGAGTGAGGTTGAGCAAAACAATTCAATTTTGCTGTTCCAGAGGATAAAAACCAGGTCCAGCTCCAACCCTGTGTTTGCATCCAGATCAGTTTTAATGAGTCTTCTGCAGCTGGAGGCCGAGTCTAGTGCCTGAGTCCAGCTTTCCACTGCTGCTATGGGAAGTCCCACACAGGGCAGTTTTAACTCCCAGCAGCTTTTGGGGTGTCTTCTTCCACCTGGGCCTTTAAATCCTCCTCAGGAGCCCATTTTCTAGTCTCAAAGTTCAGACATAATGTCCCCTTGGGAGTCACAAGTAAATACAGGGAGGTTTTATATTCCAAAATCTTTCTGCCTGAGGTGGATTGTGTCATTTACTCCCTGAGCACTGATGATACAGGACACTTCATCCGGGCTGTTTCTGAACTGGGGGACAACTTTCCTTGGAATGTCTGTCTCATAGGCTCAGGATTTGCAGGGGGAGGATGGGACCCCCTCCCTGGCACAGCCCCCTCCCTTCAGGGGCACGAGGAAGCAGCACATTAAACACCATTAAACACCCCCCTCTCCTCCCTGAGAGGCTCCCTGGGCTGACCCCGCCTGGGGACAGCGTGACAGGCCAGTGCAATTTGTTTAAAAGGGGATTAAGGCTTCAGAAGTGGGAAGTGATGGAAGATTATCTGGGAAACAATGCCAGGATTGCTCATGGAGCTTCAGCTGTGGCAGTGAGAGCCCTCAGGGGGTGCTGACAGACCCTCACAAGCTCAACACATCAATCGGTTTGAGGGGAGTCTTCTTCCTGGACAGGGAAGGGCATTCCTTGGGCCACACATCCTCCTGGAAGTAGGGCAGAGTAGTTTTGTGCCACTTCTGGAGAGCACTCCCAGCTGGTTGGGCTGCCTTAAGTGCTCCCAGGAAATTGTTCTCTCACTCCCTTTCCCAGTCTGGATGCTCCAACCCATCCAACCCACTATTAAGGCCTCAAAGGCACCAAGCAGCTTGATGTTACCTCTCACTGAGAAGAGGCCCTGGACACTCACAGCTGCCCCACCATCCCTTCTCAGAGCCCTTCTCCTTCTCTGCTCATGGAACAAAGGACACTGGGACAAGGGTCTCTCTGGCTCCTGTCAACAAATCAAACCATACTTGAGGATAACGAAACTATTTCCAGAGGCAGAAAGGGCACAAGTGCCACACTGAGGCACACTGTCCAGAAAGGTGAGGGGAGCACTCCACGCTCCTTGGAAAAGCCCAGGGCCAGCCTGAAGACAGGCCAGTCCACTTCTCATGGAGCAGTGTCTCCCAGTCCTGCCACAGGTTCCATCAGGGCTCCCACTTCACTCACATCCAGATCAGCCCCTGCACAGATCATCCTCCTACAGGAAGGGCTTCCCAGTTCCAGTGTCACTGAAATGGCACTGACAGGGGAATGTCACTGAACACAGAAGGACTCATCCCTCCCTCTCTCACTGCCCAGTCATGGCTACAACAATCCTACAAACCTGGGGGCTGAACTGGGAGCACTGGGCAGGTGCTGCTGCCAGTTAATGGAAAGCTGGGCTTAAAAAAGGCAGTTTTGGATTATGTTGCCAGGCAGAGCACACCAATTCCTAGGGATTCATCCAGCCCAGCCTGTCAGTCATCCTTTCATCTCACAATATGTAAAGCCAAGTGCTTATTCCCATTGGTGAGGGAGGTGGGATGGGGGCTGAGAGTGGCAGGAGAATAATGGGATCGTTAAGGTTGGAAAAGCCATCTAAGACTGAGCCAACATTCCCTCAGCACTGTCACATTCACCACAAACCCATGTCCCCAAGTGCTGCATCAACACACCTTCTGGGCACTTCCAGGGAGAAGTGGGGTGGCAGGAGAATAATCGAATCCTTAAAAGTTGGAAAGCCCTCTAGGACCATTGAGTCCAACCATTAACCCACCACCACCATGCTCACCTCCAACCCATGTCCCCAAGTGCCACATTCACACACCTTCTGGACACTTCCAGGGAAAACAGGCTGGCAGGAGAATCCCAGAGCTGTCCTTCCTCCCCTCCTGCCCTGCAGGGGTTTGGGAACCAAACAAAAGCAGCCAGGAACTGTTGAGTTTAGTAAAATCATTTATATACACCGAGGGGGAATATTTACAATATAATACTGATCCCAAAGGAACTAACAGGGAACACTGAGGAGAGAAATGGGAACATCTCAACACACAGAAGTTAAACGTGGCATGTGGGGACAGACTGGGATTTCCAAAATGAAAACCAGGAGTAAGGACAGCAAAACTTTGACATGTTGCTACTTCCAACTCAAATCTCTTTTGCCCAGTCAGGTTCTTCTAATTTTTAATACAGATATAAAAGCATAAAATAATCAATCACAGGAGAAGTCAGATATACATCAAATTTTGAAAAGGTCAAATGATTTCAGAGATTTTTCTTCACTTAAATAAAATTCTAAAAAAAAAAAAAAACAAACCAAAAAAAAACAACCTACAAAGCTTTCCCACATTTTTAGTGTTTGTACAAAGTCTTCTTTGATCCCATACAACCCTTCCAGCTCCAGATATTTACAATATTCACAGTCTGCCATAAAGGATCAGTAGATTTATTATCAAATAAAACCTTACAGAATCAAGACAAGATGTCCTGCATTTGTGTCAACTGAAAAATAAAACAAAACACAGGAAGGAGAAAGTCAAATGCTACTTTAAAATATGAAAATAAATCCATTAAAGTGTATTTAACTTTGAAATGTAAAACTTAACTTTTCAAAGAGACAAAAAAAATCAATTTTCTCATAGAAATAAAACCATTTGACCTTGAAGCTTCAAATTGTGTTTTCCTAATCTGTCCCTCCTCCCTCTGCTTCAGATCAGGCCTTTCTTACTTATACCAGACAATAAAATTTAGAGTAAATCCATAAAAAGCAGTTCTTTGTGACAAAATTCCAGTGCTCACCCTGGGAGTAGCTCCAATCTGATTCATCTTCCTGCCAACTTCTGTCTCCCAAAAAACTGCCTGAGTATTTTCCTCCTTGGAGGGCAGAATCACAAAGTGCCTTTGGAGGGAAGTTTTTGCACTCCTGTTCAAACACAGGTGATTTCTTGTTTCTATCTCTATTTGCCACACTTAAAACTTTCAATTTCCCCCAAAAAACCATGGATTTCAAGTTAAAAGTGAAACCATCTTACATTTCCAGACTTGTGTGGACGTTGACATGACCTAGAATGAGAGCAAGGACAGAAGTGCACATCAAAGGCCCTGCAAAGTTGCTGATACAATCAAGAAATGACAAATATTCTTGTTTCTTGCTAATTCTCTTCAGTTTTCATGGACAGGTCAGTGCACAAATATCCCATGTAGTGTCAGAGGTACAATTCTGGCTCACACAAACACTCCCTACTCCCATCAAAGTGATGGTGGAATAGGGACTGTTCTTCCTCTGCAATAAATCAGGCATTGGAAAATGAAATCAGGATTAAAGGAAAGCTGACAAGGTGCTGACAGAGAAGGGGACATGAAGCATTTCCTTCATGTAGAAAAACTAAATCACCCTTTACAAAACTGTATAGAAAGAGTCAGACACTGCTTTGCCATCAACTAAAGGGAGTTTGATGTAGAAAAGAGACAACAAAGAACTGCCCTAAGAGAGAATTGGGGGGTTCATGGCTCAGGTTTGTCAATGTAAACCCAAAAATGAGGAGCTCTGAAATACAATGTTCAAAGTCGTTACTTGTAGCCCTGAATTGGCACTTCAGTACAGACCAAACTCACTCAGTGTCTGCACAGGTTTGGTACCAAAATATCTCTATAAAAAGCCTCCACCCAGTCCCAAAAGAAAGAAAAGCAGCCAAAGGTAGAAAACTAGAAATATGTACAGATTCTGTCCATTTGTTTGCTTCATTAAGGTTAAAAAAAGCAGCTTTTGGAGCCAATGTTCCAGACTGGTGTAAGAACCTGCCCTGGGGAGGCAGCAAAGGGAGCTGTGGGAAGGAGCAGCCCTGGAGTTGTGGCTCCCCCAAAAAGGAGCTCAAAGGCATCAGAGAAATGGGAATTTGGGCTCTGGAGGGGACACAGGACATGGATCTCTGGGGGATCCCACAGCAGCACTGGGACCCCGACCAGGATAATCCCTCAAACAAGAGGAAGAGTCTAAAACCAAGAGTTGGATCTCCTAGAAAGGAAAGAATGGGAATACAGGGTTGGATCACACACAACTGGGGGCTGAAGGAATAAACCCAATGCTGAGTTTTGTCCACAGAAGATCCCACCATGAAAATAAAAACAACTCGTAATAAGAACTTGAACATTCTTCTGTTCTGCTGTTGGAGGAGGTGAGAAAAAGAAGAGTTTTATGCTGAATTCAGCCTTACAAAAGGTCTGAGGAAGAAGAAGAGGGAGAAAGAGAGAAGGGTGAGGTTTGAAGAAAGTCTGGGGAAGATGGGAAGGAGACAAAAAGAGGAGAGTTACTGCTCAGAACTGAAAATTCCAGCAAGCACATGGACTCAATGCCCTGGGCAAGGCCAAGGGGGCTCTCAGGGCACTGAGCCACACTGAAGGTTATTTAATTTAGTTGCCTCTACTTAAAGAATCAGAATTTAGGTGCCAAGAGCAGCTATGAATTTGTGTTTCACAGCACTTGCTTCAAGTACTCACTGAGCAAGGGGTTAAACTGTGGCTCTTGTTCTCATACACAGTCACTGCAGTGCTGGATGGGGCAGATGGAAGCAGCTCCTGCAACTGGTTATTAAGAGAAAGAATGGTCTTTAGCAATATAATCCACCCCTTTTGGGGCCCTCATGATTAACAGTACATAAGTGATCGCAGAGACCTCAAGGAACTGAGTTTTAAAAAAATATTACAGTACCAATGATTTTTTTTTTTGTATCTACAACTATACAGCATTTTCAAGCAGTATGGAAATTTAATGAAATAATTATGATTTATTAATTTACATAAAAATACTTTTTACAGTTAAAGAATAAATCTTAAATGGTAAAAAAAATAAGATTAAGAAGCTCCAGCTATTGAGAGTCGTGGGAGTTTGTTTGCTCTTCGATGACTTGTTTGACTATTTCTGCCAGTTTTAGTCGATCCACTTTGTCTGTGAATCCTCTGCCTGGAAGGGAAAGAACAGGGAGTCAGGTGCTGGGAACAAAGAAGGGAAGAAATCCTGGCTGGACTTAAACAATGATTCACACAAACTTAGGGTAAGAGAACCAAAATGAGTTACAATGTCTAGTTCTGTTGGAAAATTGAGCACTTAAAGACCTAAATTAAACCCAACCAAGCAAAACAGAATGAGGGGAGAAGCACAACCAAGCCCTGTGAGCCTGGATGATAGCTCTGGTCCCCTCTGCTCCTGGGGCTGACCCCTGTGCCACCCTGTTTTGTCCAGGAGCCATCTGAGCACTCCCAAGGTGACTGTCCTGGTTCTCCCACCCAAGCCAAGCTGAGGAGATGTTGTGCTCACAGGGGTGAGGGCAGTGGCCTCCAGCAGAAAGAGGGAATGAACAGCTGGGAGGAAACTAGCTGAAGAGGTTCCTAAAGGGATCAGAGAATCATGGAATGGTTTGGGTTGGAAGGTATCTTAGAGCCCATCCAGTTCAACCCCTGTCATGGGCAGGGACACCTTCCACTAGCCCAGGTTGCTCCAAGCCCTGTCCAACCTGGCCTTGGGCACTTCCAAGGATCCAGGGGCAGCCACAGCTTCTCTGGGCAACCTGTGCCAGGGCTCACCACTCTCACAGGGAAGGATTCCTTCCCAATCTCCCACCTAACCCTGCCCTCTGGCAGTTCAAAACCATTCCCCCTTTTCCATCACAATCCATTTGTGCTGCTCTGTTCCTACACCACTTGGTGCCTCTGAAAACTCAACCCTGAACCTCAAACAGAGATTTTTAAAGCAGAACTTTGCCCCTCATTTTGAGCACACCCATTCTGGCAGGAGGCCTGAATCACTGTGAAACCTAAACCAGCACCACTTCAGTAGATTTGGGGTTATTCCCATTCAGTTTTCCCCCTTCCCTGTGGAAGGAAGCAGCTCCTCACCATTCCAGCTGAAGCTCTGCAGAGTGTCCCGCAGCAACTTGCACTCCCGGTTGTACTTCCAGGCCTCCTGCATCACCTCATTCAGCTTCTCATCCTCATTCTCTCCTGTTTGGGAGCACAAAGAGAACCAGGAGGTTTGGCCTCGTGCCTCACTCAGGGCTCCAGCCAACAGCACATGCAGTTGTTCCTCCTCTCTCCACACACACCAGGAAATGGGTTCAGAGCAGCCACTCCTGGCTCAAAGTTCTTTTCCCAGCTCTGCATGTCCCTGCTCACACTGATACCACACAAATCCCAGCCCACAGAGTGCCCAGGGCAGCAGGAGTTTTGTTTTTCCTCCCTCCCCACTGACACAGACTGACCCAAAGTCAGTGTCTTGCATGTTTAGAAATGGCAACTTTCTTAAAAGTGGCAACCTTTACCAGCCTGGGGGAGAATGCACTGGGCAATCACATCTCTCAGCTTCTCCAGAGCCACGTTGGAATCGTTGCTTCCGTTCTCAGGGTCATGGATATAAACCCCATCCTTTGGCTTGGTGCTGGGGAAGAACAAGGAGGAAATAATTAAGAGTTTGGTCACAGCTCAAGTTCATACTCATTGCATAACTGCATCAGTAAAACACCCCCCTTCACTCCCTGGAGAGCTGGGAGACAGACTTGGCATTAATTATAATTATTGTTCTTTATTATGAGACCATTTCAAAAAGAAATATTCCTTTAAATTAGTTCAAGGAAGTCCTAAAATGCATTATCCTACTTTTCAGATTAACTTGAACAAAGAGAAATTACCTGACTTTTTCAGTAAGTAAGTGTCAGGATCATAAAAAAATCTTGGAATTCTTTCTCCCAGTTTGCCTTCTCTTGCACGTGACCCATCTCCTCGTAAGGGATCTGTTCTAACACAGATACAGGACCCAGCTCCTCCCGCCCTCACCAGAACATCTCAGAAGCCAAACCACACTGTCCCAGTGACTCCAACTACACCAAGAGTTCAACCACCTCAGAACTGAGCCTGGGACGTTCCCAAAGCCCTGTTCCAGCCTCCCAGCTGCCCCTGTGTGTCCCTGGAAGCTTTAGTTACCCCAGCAGTTTCCGCTTGCGCAGGATCGGGTTGTTCACGGAGTGAAGGGGTTTCAGGCTCACTTTGAGGTCTTGGATCCTCATGTTTGCAAGTTGTTCTGCATGAGCCTGTTGGATCCCTGCAACCATGGCCTGGAAGGAGAAGAGTTGCACTTTAGATCCTCTGTGAATTAAGGAACAGTATGTGGACAATGTTAGCCATGCATGGGGAAAAAGAAGCACCAAAATCCTGTTTGTTTTGGAGATATGGAACAAAAATCAGGTTTGCCTGAAGCAAGACATGATGAGAACTACAGTCATTGACTGTGGGATAATATATCCCAACTTCATAGGGGGAAACAGGACAAAGGATCATCTCTACTGCTCATGTTCACCACATCTGAGTGTTGAGTGAACTCCTCTTTGAGCAGAGTTGAAAGGAAACAAGGACTGAGGTCACAGTAGGGGTATAAAATGGGGGAAAAAGAAGAAAAGATTCCTCTTTCACTACCATGCTCTGCTCTCTGCTCCTCAGCACATGGCTGCTTTTAATACCAATCCTGGAGCACATCCCCCAAGCCCAAATTTCATATTTTATTTCCATTTTCTCCCTCTTTCCATTTTCTTACAGAGATCTCAGGCTCTCCTAAACAAAACATTCCAACCATCCAAGAGCTGTCCTGCTCCTGTGCAACATTCCTGACTAAACTAATATTGTTTCTATGAATTCAGACCTTGTCCATCATCAGCTGGGCAGAGGGCAGGATGTTGTCCAGAGCCTCTGTGGAGTTGAGCCAGGGATGGTCCAACACACCCTCGATGGTCAGTCTCTCCTCAGGTTTGACCTTCAGCAGCCTGGGAAAGGAAAAATAATCCATCAAGTGGGGTTTGTTGATTGTTGATTTGCAGAGCACTGAACAATCTCTGAGCATCACAGGGGTCAAAAAGGAACTCCACAACAGCTCAAACTGCCCCAAAAGCAGCCTGACTTTGTCCCAGGTTCTCTGAGCCTTGCTGTGGATTTATTTAACAAGCTCATCCAGGTACATTCAGGGATTCAGGGTAAAGGAAAGGTGCTGAGGGGCCATTTCAGGAATATCTGTGTGTTCTCAGATTGGAAATTATCTCCCAGACGAGCTGGAAATGATCCAGACCAACAGTCCCTGGAAATGCTCTTCTAGAGCTCATCCTCATAACAGGCCACACTCATTCCAAGGATTTTGGGCATGGAAACTTCACTGAATTAACTGTTTCCACCTGCAACTCCTTACCTTTTCTTCCCCTGCAAAACCCTGAAGGAATGGACACTTTGACAGGCTCCAGTTCCTCAGAATAAGAAGGAAATTTATTCTTTACTGCTAAAAAAATCCATGGAATAAATGCTACTAGAATGAAACCCTGGAAAGAGGTTTTGCAGATAAGCTCATGTTCTCATGATGAACTGCTCCATAAAAAAGCCAAATTCCCCCCAGAGTGCTGACAAGTTCTCCCAGGAGTCTGAATTAGAACCAGGAGGACTCCAGGAGGTTGTCACATTCCTTAGACAATTCCCTAAATCAGTTCCTGGCTGCAAACGTTGTTTAATGTACCAAGGAAGTGGAAATAACTTGTGCAAAATGTCAGCAGGACCCTGGGGTAGCTCAGAAATCTCACTTGCTGCCAACAGGTTGTAAGTTCAGTTTTGATACAAGGCCCAGGCATTCATTTTCCATGGGTTTTCCAAGTCCTGACCTCCAGCTCCCAAAGCTTGAGGTGAGAAATGAGCTCGACACACTTGAGAGGCAGCAGCTTCCTGAATGCCAAATATGAGCCCCAAAAGCCAGACTCCATAGGAAGAGCTGCCTACACCCATCAAATGTAAACTAAGCCAGAATTATATTAATTCTAAATGTATTCCTGCACCATAAGCTCAACTTCAGACTCCCTGGCTGGAAAAGACAGGCAGGGAAAGGAGTCCTGATAACATCAGTGGGATAAATAAGTGAACTGAATCCACGTGACAATGTTCTGTGAGCTGAGTTTATGGTCATTTTAAAAGACAATAAAATTTTTTGCTTTTAAAACCTTTAAACCTTTCATATAAAGCAAGTTTCCCTGCAGTTTTTGTGGTGAAAGGTTGTGGGTTCTCCTGCACTGCTCCAAAGGTCCCAGCAATATGAAGTCCTTGGAGATTTTACAGTATCTTTGAGGAGCCAGTAACACTTTAAAATTACTTCCCCAACTGATTTTTTTCCTATTTATGTTGTTTTTATTCTTTCAGTTCCTCTGGTCATACAAAGGCAGTAAGTCCCTCTCACTCTTTAGAGAATAAGCCCCAATCAGTGCCACGTTCTGGCTTTCAAACAGCCCCTGTCTGGGAAACTCTCCCAGCTGAGAGATGTGCAGGGCATGCAAAAAACAGCTTCCATGAGCATTTGGAATAAAACTTCAATGCAAACCCTCATCCCAGAGTCTGATACCTTCAGGACAGATCTTACCCTGCCTTTCCCTGCCTCTCTTGACTCCTTTCAGACTGAGTATGATGTGCACTTGGTTTTAAGGGAGAGATCTACCAGATCTTATTAAACCACCTGATTTTAGCAGGAATTTAAACATTACTGTACAGGATCCAAGGCTGTAGAGCACCTGATGTGGCAGCCAGTTGTGTGTGTTGTTCTGAATCCTTTGGTGCATCTGCTGCCCTTAAAGACTAAACTCACAGTTCACTCTTAAGAAATTCAGAAACATCAAAATCAAACAGTTGGGGATGGAAAAAAAGAAGGGACGAAAAATATTTACCAGACTTTATGCTGAATATGACAGAAGATCTGTCAGCTGTATGAGCTGCAGACAAGGTAGAAGAACAATCCCTTTGGGAAAACAGATTTTCAAGGGACTTTTCAACCTTTTAATACCAAAAAGAGCAATAAAACACTTCCCTCCCCGGACTCACTTCCGCACAATGTCCTTGGCCATCTCGGAGATCTGGCTCCACTCCTCCTCTGGGAATTCAAAGCTTCCTGTCATGATCTTCTTCCTCATGTCCTTTGGGATGGTCCTGCTGTGGTGTTTGGAGTAGAAGGGGGGGTACCCACACAGCATCACGTAGATGATGACACCCAGGGACCAGAGGTCACAGCTCTGCAAGCAAGGACAGCACCACTCCGGGTCAGCTCTGCAGCACTGGGGGAGCTACTGCAGAACAAGTGTCTGCCTTCAACCCCCCCCTGCTTCTCCAGGGTGGAGAAGGGGTAATCAGAACCCTGGAGAAGGTGGATTTGTGGTCAGGAAACCACTGCAGAGTAGTTAATCTTTGCTTTAGCTCTCTATAGGAGGCTGCTAAACCCTAATACCACATATCAAACTACCTGCTCTAGCACATGGTGGGTTAAACAGCTGGAACTCAGGTAGATCCTTAGCACTGGCATCAGAAATCAGCTAATTTTAATTAGAGTTGACACTCCAAGAACACTCAGTGGTTCAAACACTGCTCGGCAAGCAGGAGACAGTGATGAGAATATGAAGGAAAAGAGTTTGGAATGCCCAAAAAGGAATACAACCCTTTAGGACACTTTGCCAAGGGTCCAGCAGCAGCTGGTACTGCCCAGGGCTACAGCATAAAATACTGGGCATTTTCTAGAAGTTCCCAGAAACAGACTGGGCAAAACATCTGCACATCCAGAAGCTCTGGGTGACAGCAGGAAAGAGGATCCCTGTGAACAGCTTCTTGTAGGGATGAAAGAACCTCCCCCATGGTCTCACTCCAGCAGAATCATTCTGCTCCCTCCAAAATCTTTTCATATTTAGTGCTCCTTAACAGTGTTTGTGTGTTTCTCCTTTAATTAGAGGATCACTAATTAGGGTTGGGCTAAGTGTGTATTTCATTATTCACTCCATCAGAAAGAACCAAGAGGCAGCAGCACTGTCAGTGTGTCACTTCCAAACCCAGACAGAGCCTGCAGAGATAATTATCTCCTCATTTGCCACTTCAACTGAGTGAAGCCTGGTCTGAACCTTCTGTTCAAGGAGAAATCCCACTGCAAACCTGGTCACTCCTTGAGAAAAGCCAAAGGAACACAAAATAACCAGCAACATGACACTTCCCTGCTGGTTTCTCTAGATCCTGCTTGTACTCAGTGTGAGATATTTGGCTTTTTAGATGCATTCCTGTCACAGATCAGAGTAAATTTATTGCTGCTGTAAGGGTGTCATTTTAGGGCAATAAACTTTATTGCCTTGGGTGTTAAATTGTGCCTACAGATTTCTACATTGTGCCTTCAGGGTTGGTGGGGAAGGCACTTTACAAACACTGTTTAAAGCACTGTTTCCCACTCACCTTGTTGTAAGTGTAGGGTGTTGGAGAGGTGGGGATAATACCAGATTTTTCTTTCTGATGTCTTCTCTGTGCCTCCAATACCTGTTGCCATAAGAGGGAAAAAAAAGAAAACAAAGCAAAATACATCTCTCATCTATAGGCAAAAAGATTCTGGATGTTTTTCCATTCTGTAAACTTATTCCAGCTACTGAAGGCTTTTTCAAACTCAAAATTTTCTTCCTAAAAAAGATTGGGACTTTCTACATTCAGCTAAAATATTTTGCTGCTTTGAATGAAATTTATCAGTTTTGCCTGAATTAAAGCAACTGCTCCCAACTTCCAACACCTCCAGGCTTGGAATTAGAACCCAGAGTGTGTCTGGAGGGTAACCTGAGCTCCAGAGATGTCCCTTTTTGCCTCTCCCAGGAACAAATGACACCAAATCTGTCCCTTGCTGACCAAATCTGAGGGTTTGGGTTTCCAGAAGGCCCGGGAGGCTCCAGCTGAGGAGGCACTTTCAGGGTCTGATCTCTGAGTTGCTCTTCCCAGTGATTAAAGGCTCTGACGTGCCCAGCACTTCAATTAAAGATCCATCTGCAGTTTTCTTTTCATTTTCTTCAGGATTCCAACACAAAGGACAGAAGAAAGTAGCACTACAAAGAGCAGCCTGTCTGTAATTATAGATTGTGCCTTAATGACAAGGGGCCAAGCCAAGGTGCTCAGATAACCACTGCTATTTTTGAGCCTTTTCAGAGCCTTTTTGTTCCAGCACAGTCCTTTTTAATGTAATACTGAACGAGTCTGAGCTGGAAGGAGGATGGGAAAGCAGGAACTCCTCCAAAACACCTGCTTTAATGCAGTTAAAGGTCAGTGGACAAAATCAGTGCTAAGAACAGTCTGGGAAATCTGCCTCACTATCCCCTGCTCTTATCAACACATCACTGTGACACTCCAGCTCCAAAGGTGGCTAATCTCCAATTATTCAAGATTCCTGCCCCCAGAAGCCCTGAACAGGACAGCAAAGGCTTTTAGAATGCTGTAGTTCTGGAGACACAGGCAAGAAATTATTCCCTTTTAGCCCAGAATTGTGATTTTTGTTACCTGAGGTGCTACGTAATACGGAGTGAACTGTGGTGTCATCAAGTCACCTTGGTCTACTTTGGCAAATCCAAAGTCACACAGTTTAACAGGAGCATCCTGAAATAAGGAGAAGAGGCTTCATTACATAAATCTCATTATATCAGCTTTTCTAACACATAAGTCTTGCCTTGTTCTCATCTCACCTTTGCCACACGTACTCCTCATCTGTATTCACACACTCACATTCCCCCAAGCTAAAAGGACAAAACCTGATCTTTCAAACAAGCATTTTTGCTTTCCTGAGTGCTCTGGGTCAGGAACAGCCCCCTCTGAGACTGGGAAAGCAATAAACACGTTGTAGAGGGGTCACTGCATGTCCAGGGTGGTTATGAGCAGGAAAAAGAAACAAGGAAGTGTTTGGATCTATCAAAGCCCCTCTAATGCTTGTCAGAACATCCTGATTATGTGACAGAATGATCTTCTCCTCAGCAAAGCTGGATTTGTGTAGAGCTGCAGAACCTGCCTCATATTTAACAGACTGTGCTCCAAGGAGATCAGAGAATGTACAAGCACAAAGTCAATAAAGGTGATTAATGTAATTTTACAACTATTCTGAAAATCACCATTTTACAGAATTCAGCAGTAAAAAAAAAAAAAAGAATTCTAGTATTCATCTTACCAGAGAGTTATCCTTGAAGAGGAGATTCTCAGGCTTGAGGTCTCTGTGTGCAATGTTTAGTGAGTGGCAATGCTGCAAAGCCAAAGCTATCTGGAAAAGGGCACAATAAATGAGCTACAGTTACAGAACTCCTGCTTCAGCCTGGACATTACTTTAGCTTTAGAAAAAGGACATTTCCTATGTATGTCAGACCCCAAACCTTCTCACTGCACTTGGCTGCAAGGCTGAGTTCAGACAGGCCTGACCCTGCAATAAGGGCAGTGAAGTGATGGGTGGGACATTCATCCCACCAAGGATTCAGTTTGTGTTTCACTCAAAGCAAACAGAAAACAAAAGCCAAGCTGGACTGGGCTGCCCAACCATCTCATTTGACTCAATCAAGGCATTAATGACCACCCAAAATGGAACAGACCTGACAGTGCCCTTCCCTGTGCTGTGCCAGCCCTCCGAGGTGCCCCTGCCCAGCAACCACACCCTGCTTAACTCCCAACAGCTTCAGTATTTCTGTGAATGTTTTATTGCACCTGTTACTGATTGAGATCCAACATTCAGGCAGTTTTATTCTTTAATTTTTGATGGCACTGCCTGCACTTCCCTCATTACATGGGCCATCACACAGAAATGCACTCCACGATCCTTTCAAAGGCAGTTTCTCACCTTGCTGTGGTTTGGAAACCCAGGAAAACTCCAGGGAATGGACATTTCCAAGTGCAATTCATTCAAAGAAAACCCAAGCATAAATATTTAAACAGCTTTACTGAGGCTGAAGGAAGGCAAAGCCACACAGCCCTTATTTGGAAATATTTCTGTTGGGTTCTGCAGGATCCCACCCAAACCCAGCACGCTGAGGGAAGTGTTGATGCCTTAGAAAACTGCAAATTACTGTCACATGAGAACTTTGGTGTTAATTTAGCTCAGAACCAAACAGAAACACATTCCCAGAGAAAAAGAGGCAGCTCTGTGACACATTCTAGCTATTACAGGCTACAAGGAATCAAGAGTCACAGTTCAGGATAAATCACTCTATGAAACAATAAGATTTTAACATTTCAAACTTCATTTCTATAAACATTAAAGCCAAGAGTTACTTGGGACATGAATACACCAAGTGCACACACAGAGTAAGAATTTAATTCAAAATTTTGATTTTTGGTGAAGTGTTACAAGATTTTCCCAACGTGTCAGAATCAAACAGCCCAAAGCACATGAAAAACTGTCAGGAATAATTCTGTGCTTCCACCTAATTTTTGCTGGATGAAACCAAAGAGGCAACAGCAACAATCAGCACTTCATTAGAAACAAGTCAAAGCACAAAAGAGAAAAGTAAGATGGAATTATTTGGGCCTCTTTTTTGCCTCAGTACCAAATATTATCTCCCCATTTGAGGGGAACTGACCCTGGGGATCCCTGAATTTCATGGAGTCACACCAGATGCTCAGAACAAAGAGCCTGATGGACACCAAAACCTCTTGTAGAAACCACCATGGAGTGTTTAAAATTCTTTCATGTATATAAACTGCAAATATATTTAAAATACAGCATTCAAGAGTGAGTTGTGCAGAGAAACAGTGAAGGGAAAACAACACCAGAACAAACAGCACAGAAAACAGGCACTAAAGTGGCACATTCCTTGTTATCTTCCATGAAGGGCAGGACTTCCATAAAACCAAGCACAAAGCCCAGCTTGGAATCCACTGGCCCAGGACACATGGGCCCAAAAGAGGAGAGAAGTTTGGGACACATTCCCAACTGGAATCAAACTGGATCCACGAGAGCCTGGGGGCTGCTGGAGGCAACACTTTTAGGACAACAGAGAGGACACACCAGGAGAAAAAAAAGTTCTCTTTGAAGTGTTCTGTAGACCAGGTGAGGAAAACCACTGTTAAAGACAGCAGACCCAAAGAACAAGCCCACAGCTTCAAACTCTTTATTATTTTCTACCAAACTTCGGCATTGTCAGGTTATAACAAAGCAGGCAAATGATCATCGGATCAGAAGACAGGATTATTTTCTTTAGGCCTTTTTTTCCACCCCTCCCAGCCCAAGGAATTGTTAATATTTAGCCATTATCACTTGTGGATTTGCTCAGACAGGGGAGTGACTTGCCTGCTTTGTTACTTGGCTTGCTTGCTTCTCAGTAAAGTGCCGGTGCTGGCTGATTCTGTGAAAGAGCTCTCCCCCTTCCATCATCTCCATTACAATTAGGAGCCGAGCCCTGTTCAAAAGCATTTCATTTTGTTACATTAAAAATCATTAAATAAAAGAAAAATAGAACAGAATTTCTAAACTAACAGTGCATATTTTACATTTACTGACAGGCCAAGACACTTGTTTCTCCTACAGTGGTTGGAGCTGCTTTGGTTCCCTAAGTTTGGTTTCCTAGTTTTAATTCTTCTACTTTTGGTACTTTTGCTACTTTTGGTTCTTTTGGTACTTTTGGTTTTGGTTCTTTCAGTTTTAACTGTATAAACTGCAGGATTTTCTGGCTCCCAGCACAACCTGACTCAGGCAGGAATCTCCACTTTGCTCCTCCTGACGAAACAACGTCCACATGGACGCATCCAGATCCAGGTGGCTCCACCCAGTTTGGCCCTGGAAGGCACATGGGATAACTCTGCCCCCAAAGAACAGATGTTTTTGGGTGTGGATGCTCTACTGAACCCCAGGATTTTAATTTACAGCTTTACTGCCATAATTAGGAAGGAATATAGGGAACATGGAGATCAGGACTAGCAGGTCCTCAAGGAATTAACTCCTAGTTATCCTCATACAGCAAAATCAGACACATCAGAGACTAGGACAGGTCTCAGCTCTTTAATTCTCTCAGCTCTGATGCTTTTTCTCAACTAATATCCGATTAGAAGACAATATTTTTATCCCAAGTGATTAATGCAGGAAAAAAAGAAAAATCAGTCTGCTTCATGTTTTTCTCTTTTTCTGTGTTCATATTAAGAGTTTTCAGGGCTGAATTTAGTATTTTTAGAAACAATTCTTTCTCTCACACAGCACAGATATCACAGACTGAATCAATGAAAAACCTAAGAAACGGAGATGTACTCAAACAGGTAGGAAAGGATGCAAATTAATTTAAATATACATTGCCAGGGGAAAAAGCAAGTGTTGCTTGGTCTGAAGGATAAATATGGTATTAAATATGACATCTGGGACCCCCTATAAATAATAATTTTGTGATTAAAAACAAACAAACAAAAAAAGCAAACTGCACTATACCTTGGGCTAAACATGGAAAGCTGTGGGAATGACCCCCCCCTATGTAATCTTACCTTGGGCTGGACTCATGTGGGAACTGCACACTGTTAGCATAAACTTCAATAATTTGAACAATATTGGGATGTGTTGCACACATCATGTGCAGACGTACCTTGAAGAGAAGGGAGGGGTGTTACTGCACACAGGGACAGGCACTTCTGATCCCCCTTTCCCCTGCAAACCACAGCCCAGCTCTGCTCAGCACCACTCACAGCTTCAAATTATCCAAGAATTAAGAAGTAAGTGTTGATATGAGTGACCAGCAGCCATTCCACTAACTCAGACTATGATAAAAACATCAGATATTGTCAATCTATTTGGTACAAGCCACGGAATCATCCTCAAAGTTCCAGAAAAAGCTCTTTTTTTTTTTTATTTCTTCAAGTTTCTAAAATAAACTTAAAGGCAGAGCTTGTTTTAAAGTAGCAACAGAGATAGGACTGAAAGTGAAAATTATTTATTGAAACCAAAAATTCCATAATCTGGCTTCTTTTATGCACTCCATGTGTGAAACCCCATCTCCTGTCCCAGCACTCTGAAACAGGGACTTAGGGAATTTAAGTTTAAAGCTTCCTGGGCTGCTCAATCAAACCAGTGATGCTTTTTGAACACAGACTATTTTTTCCCTGGGAATTTTGACAGTGAATTTAAGTGACAAGCAATGCAAGCTGCCTAAACCTCAGGGATAATTAATCCTTCTCCAAATTCCTGACAGCTGGAAGGAGTGCCCAGCATTTCACAGCCTGACAGTTTGGCACCTTGGCACGTTCTCAGCAGCCTCAGGAAGTCACAACCAGCACCAGGAGCTGATTTTAGTTCCTGGCACACAGATAAATCCATTTCCAGTGCAACTTGAAGCATTCCTGGCAATCCTGAGAGCTGTGACATCCAAGAGTGAGATGTATGGAAACAAAATTCCCTCTAAACCGGTCGTGTTACGTCACACAGGACACAGGGAGAGGAACAGCTCTAAAATGTAGTTCAGCAAATTCTAAATAAATATCTGTACAGCAATTCCTACACAGTTGGACCCTCTTTTCCCCCACCACCTCATCCCATGGGAACTGAGCACAGCAAGGCTTGAGGATCAACCCTAAAGCTTGAGGATCAACCCCAAGGAATTCTTGCACAGCAAATGCAAGTTTTGTGAGGAGGGTTTTAAAACTTTTTTTTTTTTTTTACATTTTGTTTTAACATTTTTAAGCACTTTTTTTAAAAAAAACATTATTTTAAAACACTAGATTTTGTGGTGTGTCAGAAGGCAGGCAGTAGAAACAGGAACTATACCTCATTTCTAGCTTTTGGACGATCAAGGAGGATTTTCAGTGCAAAGCGTTCTTGAGAGGATTTTTTCATGCAGACTCTGGTATTACAGCAATAAAATTATTCAGTCAGCAAGAATGTTAAAGAGACACTTCAAGCAATTGATCTGAGATCGTTCTCCATGTGGGAATGAACAGGAATTAAGATGGGATATAAGGGCACCTCTCCCCATGGCCCAGCTTGAAAACCTCAGTTTTCAGCCTCCCACAACAACCAAGTAAGTTCTGTAGAAACAACTTCAAACAAATTTGACTTCCAGCAAGGCAAAAAGAAGCCTTTCAGAGCGAGGGGGAACTGCAGACAAGCAAAACTCCCTCAAAATTCAGCCTCAAGAGATACTTTGGGTGAAAAAAACCCAAAACACACAGTGGCAGCCTGAACATCCCCGGTGGAGAGTGGAGTTTGTAATAAATAAAGTGTTTCTGAATGGAAATCCTCATTTTTGGCCAGGCCACCAACTGTTTTTTCTCTCTTTCCCCAATTTAACATGAACAATTGAGGGAAGGGCCCTCATTTTAACAGAATAAAGCCCAAAGGGGGTGTTTTAATGGAGATCAGAGGCAACACAAAACAGATGAGGAGAAACCAGTGGGCTGGACAGGGAGACAAATGGTGGTGAAAGACAAGGACCCTGTGGAGCACCCAGGAACAGTTGTTTTCCAGCAGAAATTCCCATTCCCTGAAGGCAGAGGCCTTGTTGAAAAGGGAATATTTGTTTTGCTTCGCAGCAAGTATCCAGCTCGTGCTGGGGTTAGAAATCCATGAGGGACACGGTTGGGATGCCCATGGAATTGTCTGCTTTGGCCTCACAGGATGAAGGGAAAAAACTGGAAAGAACAGGAAAGGGACAGTGGTGATGGCACAGAGGAGCCTTTGCACTGCAGGGACACCAGGATTCAAGGACAGAGGGGTTTTAGGAGGAATTTCTGTGGCCACAACCAATTCCAGGAACACGGCATGAGATGGGACAGGGAGGTGAAGAGAGGTTTTACTGCACATACATCCCATAAAAGACAAAACCCCACTTGCAGGACCCACATGGAGCAGATATTTGTTGTTTACAAGGAGTTTTCCATGGATCACACTCTGTCAAAAGCATTTAAAATACTCACTGACTTCTCCCCAAACCTGGGGTGCTCTCTTACCTCACAGGCCCACTGATCCCAGCTCCCAACTTCTGAGTCCAGTTAATGTTGTACTCCTCTAAAATGGAGGTTTCCTATTCAAGAAGGAACAGGAAGAGTGAAAAAATAGTCAATAAACACATAAATAAATAAAATTACTACAGCCCGCCCCCTCCCAAAAAAAAGACTCAGCAGACCTGGTTTGCAAAATTCCTGAGCAGGAAAGAGCCTGCTGTGGAAAATTCAACATAAATACAAATGCTCATATGACAATTTATTTGTTTGCAAGTATTTCTGTGCAGTGGGAATGCTCATCCTGGCACTCTGAACCAGGAATACTGAGAACAGTCTTTAGTACACAAGGTGTAACAAGGGCATCTCCCCTTGATTTAAATCCACCTGTAAATGATCAATCCCAGCTGAAGGGCCCAATCTCAGCATTAACATGTATTTTTGGGTCATAGAGTACATAAAAAAAAATAAGGTTTTCAAACTTTTGGAGTCATTACATTGCAAATTAAACCTTGTCTGACTGGTTTTAGCCTGTCTGATAACGAACCAGCCCCATGTTTATAATCCTTTTGTCCTAATCCATCTCAACAGGGCTTGGTTTTGTTAGGACACAGCTTGGGTGCTCTCAGGCTTAAACATGTCCCAGGGCAGGATGGAAATCAAGCACAGGGTGGCTTTTTGATTAATTTGGATTAAAGCTGCTGCCCTGTGCTGTGCCTTTGTCCTTTTATTACACCCCAGGATCATCTTTCCAAAGCCAAGCTTTGGGATAAATCACAAGAAAGGGGTTGGTACAACCATCAGTGCTGGGGAAGCTTAAGGAGGCAGGGAAAATATTCCCAAATACACTGAAATTTAAGGGAAGAGGCCACTGCTTGTTAAGGAGCTTTATTCTGATCAGACTTTTCTGTTAATAATTCAAAGGGAGCATTTTATCCCAGAAAACTGAGGACACTCCTGCTCTCAACTAAGGCTAAAGGTTGGACTTGATGATCTTGGTTCTATAATGATTTTAAGTTGTTGGAAAAGGCCAATCCCTCACCTGGGATTGGTGGTCTCTGCTACAATAATCTTGGATTAACTCTAGGCTGGAGCCAGACCTCAAACCACACAGATTGAGAACAAAACAAGGGAGGAAAGTGGATATTTAAGGCAAGATTTGAAGGGATTAAAGAGTGCAAGGGGCAAGTATGAAAGGAAAAATTGGTTTTTAACACAGCCTGGAGTGTTACATAAATCATAAATGACCAGTGAAAGGTGTAAAGGGAAAAAAAAAGTTCACTGGAGGTTTTATAAATGAAGGAAGAAACATGGATCACATCTATCTGTTGTTTGGATAACCACAAAGAAACTTCTTATCAAATCAAATAACTCAAATTTTATTTGTTATAAGCATATTAGGGAAAAGCTGCTTTAATTTTCCTGATAGCTACAGAGAACTGAAGGTAGCAGAGGTGGGATGAAACCCCAGCTTTTAGGAGAGCATTAATTAAATATATTAAATATAATAAATTAATTAAAATTAATTTTAGGAGAGCATTAATGAGCAGGGAAAGGGTTTCTCTGGACTGGGGAGTTCCCCCTCAGCTTTACACATCACACTTGGGGTGTAAGTTTTGAAGGAGCTGAAATGGAAATGCCAAATATCCCCATTTATTCCTGAATAAATGGGCCAGAGAAGCTGATTAGGACTGGAAAGTCTGTGATCTCTGAATGAAATGAAGGAAAAATAAGATCTGATAATTTTCAACAACTAAAGGACAAGTTCAACAACTGTAAGTCCATTTTTAATAAAAATTAACTTTCATATTGTGTTTTAAATAAAAAGGCAACATTTGGGGGGGGTTGCAGTTTTATTTGGGTTCCAACCTTCACTCCAAAGCAAATTTACAACTTAGAAGTTAAAATGAATATAACACAGTGACCAAGAAACACTTTTTACCATTTCCAAATGACACAAAATTCAGTACTTGGGAACTTCAATCACTTACATCCCCTAATTCAGAACCAGCAGCTCCAAATCCAGCCCCAAGTCTGTGCAGCCACAAACCAACACGAGCCCATAACACCCAAATATAACACCCAAACACCATCTTCAGAATCTTTTCTGTCAGAGTTTGAACCCCATGATCTTGGGGGGCTTTTCCAACTTTAATAATCCAGGATTCTGTGATTCTAAACAGCCTGAAATGCTTAAAAAGCAAAAATATCAAACTGCCCTGTGAAAATATCCAAGTGTTTCAAGGGGGAAGCCCAAAGGCCTGGGCTCTGTTTGGATTAATGGACACAGGAAACCTTTGTGATCCTGCTGTCAAAGGAACTTGGAACTTCTGATCACTCCTTAAATTAATTTCCAGTGGGAAAAGGGAATAAATTAATATGGAATCTATCCAATTACAACAAAGTCTGAGTTCTCTCCAGCAGCACAGTTCCCTCCCAGCAGCTCTGGGCTCCTAAAACAACACTTGGAGCAGCAGAGTCAGCAGGCTGGGATGCCAAAGGCCTGGAAAAGCAGCATTCCCAGAGTTCTTACAGCTGGATGCTCAGGCATTTCTGACTTAAATGTCTTTTCCAACCTTAATGATTCCATAATTCTCAGTTTCCGTGGAATACTGATGGGAAGAGGTTTGAAACAAGGAGCTTTGAGAGGGTCAAACCTCAGGACTGTTCAGGGAAAAGCTCAGGCTCTTCTGATTTAAAGGTCTTTTCCAGCCTTAACAATTCCACGATTCTCAGTTTCCACTGAATATTTATGGGAAAAGGTTTGAAATAAGGAATTGTGACAACAAAACAATCTTTACAATAAAAATTCAAGGTGCACAGGCTTGGACCTGTGTGATTCCACCTCCTCTGCTCCTCCAGCCTCCTTCCCTAATCTCTGATCCCCGTCCTGAACCACAGAATTTCGGACAGCAAATGCTTTGCACAAGGTGAAGAGGCTGCAGAGACGCTTTAAAATACTGTTTTATGTCACTTTATTCCAAAAGGAATTTCCCAGTTTCCACAGCAAAGAATTCTGGAACCCTGGATCTGTTCAGCTGCTCCAAACACAACCATCCCACACACCAGATTTGTTTTCACACAGAAGGATGTGGCACCTCAGGGAATAGCCAACAGTTTGCCCAGAGAGAATTACAGGGAATGAGAGGGGGTTGTGAAACAGGGTCCTGCTCATTGTGGCAAAATGGGGAATGTGTAAAAGTTTTCTTAAGGATTTTCTTTGATGTTTGATCTTTTCAAGCCTAATAAACAAGAAGAGTTAATCAGTGAAACAGAAGCTCTAAGTGGTATCCAGGTGTTAGAAAAACAAATGACTTGTGGGTAGAATTGCCTTGTTAAGGTTTAGGGCTGGAGATGCTTCAGTGATCTCAGACCTGGGGCAGGTTAACAAAGTATGGGGAGAAGGATTTTCACTGATGGTGGACACAGGGAATGCAGAAATTACAAATCACAAGGACATGGGGCAGAACCCTCAAGAGAAGGAAGAAACTAATAAACCCAACTCAGCAGCTGGGCTGAAACCGGCTCCACGGGGGTAAGAGGTGATTCTGATCGACCCAACAAACCCCCAGACCCAAAACAAGAGAAAGACTGAGCATGGCACTAATTCACATGAAAAATAAGAGAATCATTAACCAAAAGAAGACAGAATACTAGTTAATGAGAAAACCGTGTAACTTATAGGAATTGACCGTTAATTCCTTTGTTCGCTAAAACGGAATAACAGTGAAAAGTTCGGCTGGTTGTGGGGGGGGTGATTTGTGGGAACCTCCCCGAGCGCCCCCAGAGCAAACAAAGTCCCCGTCCCAAACCAGGCTCCGTGTGTGTGTC